GTGGAGCTGGTCCGATTGATTGAAGAGGCAGCTTCTCAGGGCCCATCCTGTATCCTTTCTCCACACCACATCAAGCACCACAGCAACAGGGACAAAGGTGTGGTCCTTCTCTGGCTCTCAGGTATTATTAGCAAGCCTGATATTAGTGATTCTAGAAATGTACCTGTGTGACAGCAATACTTAACTCTCTCCCTTATTCATTTGACAAACCTTTATTAAGCACGTTCTATAGCCATCCTTCCTTTGAAGGACCAAGAATGATTCTTGAAAATTTTTGGCCTCTGAACATCTTCCTACAAGTGCCCCCACTGCCCAAATCCCTATATCCCACTCTTCTCTTTTCCATTTCGTGCCGCCACTGACTTAAGAATTTGGGGCAATTCCAGGAAGCCTTGAATCTGTCTTCTCTCCATAGTTGCTTCTGACAGGATGGATAAGTCTTTTAGGTCAGACTAGCAATATCAGCATGCAATTTTTAAGTGTTTTGTTTGCTTCTGAACACAGTTTGAGGCCATTCACTACAAGAGTGTGTTCTGCAGTAGATGTTACAGTAAGAACAAAACATTGAGAATTTGTTGGGGGGGGAGGCTGGGAAGATAATTTCAGGTAGTACTGGTTGTAGGCTAAATTGTGCAGTCAAAATCATGGTCTTCAGCCCTATTTTCAACATCCTTATCTCACTCATATCTGATGACCTCTTCCGATCCAGCCTGGGTGCTGGAAAGAACATGGGTCTGAAGGTCAGGGAGTCTGAGTTCCTCCAGGATCCGCCAGGAACTAGCCAGGTAAGGCACCTCATGTCCCTTGACCTTGGTCGTCTCCTCTGTGGGAGTCCAGGGTCATAACTGATGTCCTCTAAAGCCCTTGCCAGGTCCAGAAGTCTAAAGTTTTGTGACTCACATACCAAAGTAACATTTTTATTTCAAATTAAATATTACTTACGATTGAGCAAGTAATACAATCATGTGGTTCAAAACACAATAGGATGAAAAGATGCCCCAGAAGAAGTTCCATCCTACTCCATCCTCATATATCTCATTCCCCTCTTCCTCATCAAGAACTGAGAAGGGATTCACCACCCGCGGTCCAGCAGACAGCAAGCCTGATGCTCGCATTGGTCCTTCACGCCCCCCAGGTTCCAGAGGCTACATGGAGAGGCCCAGGTGGGTGCTACACACGTGGTGGGTTTGCCTCACAGCTGAGGATCCCTGAGCTTAGGAACCCCCGATCTTTTACAATCAGGCTAAGAACAACAAACCTGTCCAATCTTTGCCCTGGGGTGAGGCATTATCTTGATTTTACCAGATTGCAAACAAACTTGTTTTCCGCTCTGGAGGGAGGCACTGATCTGTCTTCTTAGGCTGTTTCTACACAAACATCTTTGAAAAGATAATTCACAACAAAACACTGCAGTGCAGGTAATACATCAGTGCAGAAGACGTGCAGAAAACTGTCTTGCAACACCCCCACTCCAGCTATCTGGGCAGTTGCCCTTCCTAGCTTCCTGTGTATCTTCCCAGGGCTTCTATAGGCAACTGTAAGCAAATGGAAACATGTTTTTGAATCTTACCCTGTTGTGTAAACACAGAACAGTGTTCATCATCATGCTTTACTTTTTTCATTTAATAATCTAAGTTTTTTTCTTTTTAACTACTGCAGAGCAGCCATTGTGGGGATACACCCTTTTATGTAGCCAGTTCCCTATAAATGGACACTTTTTACTGTTTCAAATGATGCTGCAATAGATAATCTTGAACATGTGCCATTTAGAATGAAGAGAGATTGATTACTGGGCCAAATGGTAATTGAATTGTAATTTAGTTAGATATTGTTCAATTACTGTATGTAAAGGTTGTACCATTTTGTGCTTTCACCAACTTTACCGATTTTATGAGTCATTTTTTGAGTGATCCTCTCAAAAACAGTAAACAAGCAGGAAGCAGACAGGAAGCAAAATAGGAAATAGGAAAGAGTGAGTTCCTCCTCCCACCTGCAACCTTGCAGTCTCCTTCTAGTGTCCCCTAATGGCAGAGCCTGAGAGGGAGCTGCTGGCGAGGCGGTGGTGTGGTTTGCAGTCTCAGCCCCAGCGTCACAAAGCCCGAGAGAGGTGAGTTTGGAGCTGAGCGCGGGTAACTTAGTAACTGGCACGCTTCAGGGTGTGCTGTCAAACATCTGCATGTTTGCCAACCTGATAGGTGAGAAATGGTATCTCAATGGACTTTAAACATGCATTTCTCTTCTGATGGGTGAGATCGACCAGTTCTTTACACACACAGGGGCCATCTGTATTCTCTTTCTCTGAATTTGCTGTTCGTACCCTTCAGCCACTTCTCAGCTGAGTTGTTGGTCTTTCTGGGCAACATCTTAGTGCAGGTAAGTATGGTAGCCGAGTGATTCCTCACCCAGAGTGTGTTCATGCTGGGGAGCGAGAGGCACCAGGGCAGTGAGCTCTTCTGGGGGATTTCAGACATGGACCCAGCTTGGAGACCATTAGGTCTCCAAGTGGACCCCACAGGTTACTACTCTCTTTGCTCAAGTCTACGTTCCTTGTGTCACCAGTTCCTGACCTTGGAAGCCACCTGTGACTGCCCCTCTTGTAGTGGTTCCCTGCCACCTGGGACTGTGGCTTGGATGGTTGTTTGTACACCTGTGGTCTCCTCGGTGAGCCCTTCAGAGACACACACCTGCCCCTTATTTGTGTCTGAAATACAGGTGGTCTCTGCCAAGGCCACTTCCTCAGCTGACTCACCAAGATGGGAAATTCTGTCACAGAGCAGTTTTTTCAATACCTGGAAAGTCCTGGAGACTTTTACTCAAATTCAGGGAAAGTGGCATTGGAGGCGGAAACACACTTTCCAAAGGGGAACAGAAACCTGCACAAGATGGTTAAATCACGCAGCACGCTGGGAACCCCCTCGACTACTCTCAGCAGAGAACCAGGAAGGAAGTAGAAAATCCTCAAACCTCTAAGAAGGCCACTCGCTTCCTTCACACGGTTCAGCTCCTCAGGCCCCCATCCACAGCCTGTGCACTTTTCTGTAGACAGGAGAGCCAGTTACACAAGAAGAGGGACATATGGCCTTGAATCACAGTAGGTACCATTCATGGAGTGACCACATTGAGCCGTACTGCTTTGCAGGTTGTTTCTCATGCCTGATGCACTGGGGTAGAGGAGTGATGCGATTATCCCCATTTTACAGATGGGAAACAGAGGCCCCATGGGATCAGGTGACTTGTTGCAGGGCACATGTGCAGGAAGCCTGGAGCCAGGTCTGTTTATTGGGATGAAGACTGACAGGTTGACGAATGTGCTAAGGTGGGGGTGGGGCTGCGCAGCCCTCTGCGGGGCTGGGAGGATACAGTGGAGGAAGAGACTGGGGCCCTAAGGCAGCCCCAGGAGACTTTCTGAAGGCAGTGAGGCTTGAGCAGGGTGTGTGGAAGGTTGAGGAGGATCAGGGCGGGGCGGGGACAAGCCTTCTGACCATGGGCACGAGGAAGGGCCTTTTATCCCCTTTTCACAGGTGGGGAAGCTGAGGCTTTGAGAGAGTAAGTTAGGCTGCCCAGGTTATGTGAATGTCTAGTTTGAGTCTTTGGTCATTTTGATAAGCTGCTGTTGGTCAGACAGAGATGCAGATCTATGATCTCTGGATGATCTATGTCTCATGTCTCCCTTTAAAGTGTCTTGCTTTCTCACCTGACAATACAAGTGTCTATCTTCCTCTATCAGTAAATAGTCTTCTACCACGAAAGGTTTTTTTTTAATGTTTTTTTTCTCTTGTTTTGTGTTTTTTTTTTTTAAATGAGGGGTAGGTAATTGGATTTATTTATTTATATTTGGAGAAGGTACTGGGGATTGAACCCAGGGCCTCATGCATGCTAAGCATGCTCTCTACCACTGAGCTGTACCTTCTGCCCCCACCACACAAGTTTTACTGTCAGCATTTGGATGCGTGATTTATTAACCAATTTCCTGTAATTGTTTTTTTAAATTTTTAAAAATTTTCCTTCCTTTCTCTCCCTCCCTCCCTCTTCCTTCCTTCCTTCCTTCCTTCCTTCCTTCCTTCCTTCCTTCCTTCCTTCCTTCCTTCCTTCCTTCCTTCCTTCCATGGAGGTACTGGGGATTGCTAAGCATGGGCTCCATCCACCGCTGTGCTATTTCCCTCCCTGGACCCTGTAATTGTTTCCAACTCTTCCTTCAAATGCTCGAGGCTGCTGCAGGCACTCCTTTAGCCGAAGCCCTGCGTGCGTCCAGGACTACTTGCTTATGGCACACCTGTAGTTTAGGAATTCCAGGTTCAAACAGCGGGTGTGTTTTAAAGGCTTTTGATACAAACTGCCCAACTGCTTACCGAGGATTGTGACAATTTACTTTCCCGCTGCCACAGGAACAGCGGTCTTACGACATCCTCATGATGCTGGATTTATATTTCAAAATATCCTCGCTGATTCGATGGGTGAAAAGCGATGACTTGTTTTAACTACACTTCTTCCACTCCCCATAGACCTGTGGTCCCCACTGTGGGTCTTCCTCTGAGTCTCTGGGTTTTCTACTCTGAAATGAAAAAGTGGTGACACCCAGACCCCTCCCCAAGGTCCCCGCACTCCAAATCCGCCCCCTACCCCGCCAGGAAACTCTTCCTAATTTGACCCCAAATGGAGCGACTGAAATGTTCTTTGCTTTGCCCCTTCAAGGTTTTTTCTTTTTTCTTTCATACAAGATGAAACAAATCCACTGTTTCTTTTGGGGCTTATGCACAAATTTCACAGGTACACAAAGCATCCATTACATCCTCTCCTGTAGGGAAGGAGAAGGAAAAGAAAGAGAAAAAGGAAGACATTGCCACTCCCCAAACCGTAAGGGAGTCACAAGCAAGGACAAAGTGAATGGGGACCATTTGGAAACTGGATCCTTTCCTCCCCGGGAGGCCACCCGGAATCCTCCTCCTCCTTTCACACCTCAGAAGCTGGACTGTGGCTTAACAGGTGAGGGTGGAAACTGAGTTAGAGTAGAAAATGCCGGACTCTGCCTCCCCTGGGGATCCTGATGTGAACAGCTGCAGGAATGACTGTCCTTGGGTCCTGGCCGAATGGTTCAGGCTCCCGCCCTCAGCGTCTTCCAGGGCAGAGCTGGCCCTGGCGGCAGATTCCTAAAGTGGTGCTAACATCCTCCGGCTGGAAGGCAGACAGCCTGGTCGTGCGTGGGGGACAGGTCTCCCCTGACCTTGCCTTCCCTCTGGGGGTGTTCGGTGCATTTTTGGAAGCTTCCACATCAGTGTGACTCACACCCAGCACCAGACCCTGTCTGGGTCCCAGGATAGCAGGGGCACAGGCGGTGAGCAGCGTGGCCCCAGGCATGTGAATGGAGGGGAGACTCTCCCTCTCAGCCTCAGGCCCGGGGCTGGGCCAGCCATCTGGAGGCAACACGGGCACCTGCCAGCTGTTTTTAGTGAAGCGTGTTGACAAGCAATTCCATCTAGTAATATTCCTGGCTCAGTGGACAGTAGTATGTGGCAGTTAAGAACCAGCTGCATCACTTCCTACCTGGGGGCCTTTCAGCAAGGTACTTAAACTCTCAAAATCTCACTTTGCTCACTGGTAAAATATGGATAGTAAAGGTTCTCGAATTGTATGTAGGGTGACCACCTCCGGTAGTGGGGATTTCATGCCTCCATTTTACTTAGATCAAAACCTTATTGATCTTCTTGACTCTTCTGTTAGACTCCTTAGCCAGTCTCTCAGCACATCTTATCAGCTCTGCCTGCAAAATATCAAAACATACCCGGAAACTGAGCATTCTCCACCACGTCCACTGCTTTTTTTTCTCTCGTCCAAGCCGCCATCATCTCTTGCTTGCATAGCTTTATTAGCTTCTAAATAAGTTCCCCATTTCTGCCCTTGGCTTCCCACACAGCAACCAGAATGACCCTTGTTAAAATATAAAGGCAGACTCTCTCATGTATCCCTTGCTTCAGGGAAGCCAGCCGCCGTGTCGTGATGACACTCAAGCAGCCTGTGGCAAGGGCCACGCGGTGAGGAATGGAGGCTGCCTGCCAACACCCATGTGGGTGAGTCAGCTCGGAAACCGGTCCTCCAGTCCCAGGCAAGCCTTCTAATGACTTCAGCTTCTGCTAATATCCTGACGATAACTGCATGAGAGGCCCTGAGCCAGAACCTCTCAGCAAAGCTGGCTCTGAGTCTCTGAACCCCAGACACTGTGTGATAATAAGTGTTAGGGAGTAATTTGTGACACAGCAATCCATACGTAATACAGGTTTTTGGTACCTGGAAGAGGGAGGTCTGCCATAATAAATATCTACGAATCTGGGGTGGCTTTAGAACCTGGGAGTGAGTGGAAGCTAGCAGGACGTTGATGAGGGTGTAAATGAAGACCTAAACAGTTTTGCCTTGAACAGTCCGGATGTAGAGGGGGCTGCAGGTGTGGGCTTAACAGGCAACGAGGAGTATGTTATTAGAAATGGGGTAGAGGAGAATCGCTGATACGTAGTGGCAGAAAGTTTAGCAATCATGTCGCCTGTACTTCTTGGGGGGATAGGAGATGCCACCAAGGAGCTGGGTGAACTACCTAAGATATTATTAGCCAAAGTGATAAAAGTTCCCCTGGATTTTGCTGCTTGTACTGAAATACAACAAGAGGCAGATGCACTAAAGGAAAGACTACTGAACAAAAAGGAACCAAGACTTGCTGATTTAGAAGCTTCCAAGAACCTCCAGCAGCCAAATGATTATAAAACTGAGAAATATCTTTCAACTAAAGAGTAAATTATGCCAGGAAACTACAGTCGAGAAATAATGCTGTGGATGTGGCTGTAAAATCCTTTGCTAAGAGATCTGAAAGACTGAAGGGTGTGCCTTAGAGTACCATCCATCTAGACAAAAGGTGTTCTAAAGTGTTTAAGGATGTGTCTCACAGATCCTCTCAATCAAACAATAGGGCTTCTAAGAAGCTTACAGGTAAGTTTAGTCATTGCGGTAGAAGCCTAAGGTAGAGAAGAGCTTATCTCAAAGAGATTTGTGTGTGTGGTGTTTGTCTAATGGAGAAAACCCCAAGATCATTCATAGAAAAAACCACAAATTTTTAAAGATAATTGTATTAATAAAAAGATCTTGAGGTTGGGCTGAAAGGGTCATTGTGTATATATGTGACCGTATATAGTGTGTGTATATATATATGTGTGTCTAAATTACATATATACACATTGTATATCTTTATATATATAGTGTGTATACAGACACACACACACAACGAAATACTACTCAGCCATAAAAAAGAATAAAATAATGTGTCTATATGTTTTTAACTTGTATAACTGGAAATATGCTCTAATTTTTGTTCATTCCATATTTTCCCACTCAACACTATGCTTTGAGAAATATCCACATATGTGCTTCTAGTTCATTGCTTCTTACTGTTGTCTAACATGATCTCTTTACGACTTTAATTTTGATGTCATCATGTTTGTCAGTGTTATCCTTTACAGTTTGTGCTTACATGCCTTGTTAAAGAATTCCTTCTCTACTCTGAGGTCATGGCAATATCCTCCCTCACTGTATTCTAAAAGATGTACACTGTCGCCTTTCACAGATTTGTAATCCACCTGAAATTTTTTATTTTTATGTAGGGTGTGAGGTAAGAATCCACTTGTATTTTTGTCCTTCATAGATAACAACGTGTCACAGTTATGTTGAGTCCATTCTGCTGCTTCTGCCCTGGGTTCGGTCCTGGATTTAGTATTCTCTTCCATAGGTCTCTTTCTCTCTTCTAGTGCAAATACCACACTATCTTAACCTTATAGTTTTACTGTATATAAGTTTTGATATCTGGAAGGACAACTCCCCCCACCTTCAGATTATCCTGACCCCTTGTTGTGTTCTTCCAAATAAATTTTAGAATCAGCTTGTTTAGTTCTTAGTCCACCAGTTCTTCCCCCCCACAACCACTACCATGTATACACATCCAATGAGATTTTGCTTGGAATTTCATTGACTCTCTACATCAACCTTGGGAGCAAATAGACATCTTTTATTTTTTTAAGTTTTTTGGGTGGGGGAGGTAATTTATTTTATTTATTTATTTTTAGAGGAGGTACTGGGGATTGAACCCAGGACCTCGTGCATGCTAAGCACGTACTCTGCCACTTGAGCTATTCCCTCCCCCTGCAAATTGACATCTTTGGACATAGAATCTTCCCATCCAAGTACATACACCATTAATTTAATTAGGTCTTTGTATCTCCTAATACATGTTTATATCTTTATCTATAGAATGCTTGCAAATCTTTGGTAGATTTATTTTTGCATATTTTACATTTTTGTTGTCATTGTAAGTAGTATCTTTATTACATTGTCTAACTGATTGTTGCTAGTATATAGAAAGTTATATGTCACCTTAAAAATCTATTTTATTAATAATAATTTATCTCAAGATTACTTTGGGTTTTCTATATGGAAAACCAAATCACCTGCAAATAATGATACTTTTTTTCCCCGAAAACCAAATCACCTGCAAATAATGATACTTTTTTTCCCCCAACTCTGCCATCTTACTTCATTTTCTTGTTTTATAGAGATGACTGTGGCAGTGTTGACTAGGAGTAGTGAGAGTAGGTAACCCCACATTTTTCTGATCTGAAAGGGAGGGCTTCTGGGATTTCAAAGGGTACCTGAGATTTCTGCAAATTCTTTGTAGTTTTCCTTCTCAGACTTAAGAAGAGTTCTTCTATTTCAAGTTTGCAAAGAGCTATTGTTTTCTCATTATGACTTTTTCAATTTTACCTAATGCTTTGTAAGAAATTCATCCTCTTAGCCTGCTCAATAAATTAGAGAGGAAAGGATAAATTACTTTTATTCTCTTCCTTGGTGTATATTGGAATGATTGATTCTTTAAATGACTTATTGAACTCACTATAAAGCTTTCTGGACTGATGTTTTCTTTTAAAAAATTAAACTAGCAATTCATTATAGGATTACCCAGATTCTTTATTTCTGCTTAAGCCCTTTTGGTAAGTTGTATTTTTCTTAAGTTTATCTATTTCATTTCAGCTAAATTTTAAAATTTTCCGACATAAAGTTTTCCCGAAATCTTATCTGTTTCGTCTCTACAGTATATGCAGGTATCTTCTATTTTCATCCCTAAACAAGACCAAGTGAGCCTTCAGGTGGCATCAGAATGCCTTCACCCTGTTTCCCCTGCATAGGTGGTGGTATCTCAGCAGAGACTGGCTAATCCTGGAACTTGCCTCACAGTTGACTGCTGGCCAGCGCCCAAGGCTGGGATGGGGAAAGCGGGGAGCAGCTTGAGCAGAGCCAGTTTCAAAATTGTGAATCCAAGAGTGTGGCCACATGTGAGCCTTGGCGGATGGCCTGCAGCCCTGCTTGCGGGTGGGAAGGGCTCTGTCCAGGCCAGAGGGGTAGCTCAGGCACCAGGGCACCTTTCTGTTGTCTGATGACTCCCAGGATTCTGTGAAGGGCAGCATCTCCCCGTCTCACGGTCCCCCTTCTGCATCACTGACCCATCTCACCCCGACACCCACAGGCTCAGGTCCCCTCCGGCTTCCCAGCGCCACTGATGACTCAGCACAGGCCCAGATGCCCACTGGAGGGCCTCTAGAGGCCCAGCCTGAGCAGAGGGACGGGCAGGATGACAGGGCTGCCCCAGGGGCAGCTTCCTGGAAGATGTTTTAAAGACAGAGCCCGGCTTCCAAGCCCGGTCTCTTGTGATCTTAATTTGTGGCTTTGTCTGATGGGATTCGCTTCCCTCTGCATCTTTGGCTGTTTATTTGGGTAAAGGATATTCTCTGCCCTTTCATGTCTGAGTGGTTTCCTCCTGCTTGTGTTCACTGTGAGGTCTTCTGCACGCCTGGCCCCGCAGGGAGGGGTGGGTGGGTGCTTCTCCTGAGAAGGGAGCCCTCGAGGGCGGGGAGGTCAGACGGAGCCTCCCTGGGGCTGCCTCCTGGGGGGCCACCGCTGGCCCGTGGACCATCCCTGCCGATCTGAGTGAAACTCTCACAGATTCCCTTGGACTTGGGCTAATAAGATTTTTCCTTTGAAAGGAACTTTCCATTGTTTGTTTTAAAAGTGAAATGAGCATTTTTTCCAACCACAGAGGCGATGCTGAAGGAGCCTGTAATTTCTAGGATCCAAGACTGGAACTTAAAAACAAGAAGAAAAGGAAAATTAAAAAGAGCTTTCCACTTAAAGTGGGTCTCTCCCTTCCTCCCCTCAGGCTTTCTCTCGTCTTCTGTCTCACCTGGGGCATCAGCAGGGCTCATATCTTTCCTTATGCCTCAAACCCTAATGAGCTCAGTCTTCCATTCTCTTCGTACCAATGAAGAGATACCTGTAGCTAATTAGTCATGGGGAGTGGGGTCGAGTCGGAATCTGAAACTAACATTTCAACGCCACTCAGTTCAATGCGCACCTACTGCGTGCCATCTGGTCCCCACTGGACACTTGCCCACAGCAGGGCCCCTGCTCTCAGGGGACGCATGGTCTAGTAGGGAAACTTGACTCTCTTTTTTATTTGCTACAAAAACTGTAGCAAATAATCACAATATGGAGTGATGAGATCCACAGCACAGGATGGAAAGGAACAGAGAGGTGCAGAGGGATTGATTGTTCGGTGGTTTGTCTTTTCCTTTTCTCCTCCCAGAGCAAACCAGTCAGTGCTTACCAGGCAGGGGACCAGGGTGAGGGAGATAATCCTTGCCTTCAGGGGACCACAGGCTTTGGGGACAACAGATCCACTTACAAGTCTGGATCAAACCACTAAGCACCTTGACAGAGAAGAGCATGGAGGCTGAGTAGAGGGGCTTCCGAATCTAGATGAGAGGAGGGCTGGAAGGAGGGCTGGGAGGAGACAGAGAGCCGAGGGATCCCACAGGCCTTTGTGGGGAGAGGGTGCCTGGCCTGGGATCCGGGAGGGTGGCGGGGCTTCAGGGGGCCACCGTCGAGGGAGAAGTGAGGGCCCTCCCCAGTGGTGGGGGTGCTGCCAGTCACTATTCAAAGGAGCCCAGAGCTGACCCGGGCTGAGCACTCGAGTTCATTACCAGTCTCGGTTCTGCCTTCCAGAGTCTGCCGTTTGGCTGGAAAGTTTATGAGAACTGGCTTATTCTCTGGTGTCTTGGCACTTACCCTTCATGTCCTGATTGGAACCAGGGAGGCTGTAAGTGCAAACGTTTTTGTACCTTAGAGTAAATTATATCTGCGTTCCTGGAGGAGGCCGCGGTGAAAGTGTCTCTTGTTTCCAGTGGCCCCGCGCTCCCCCCTCAGGAGACCTGAATTCCAAGCCGGCGCTACTATAAAGTTGATGAATGCGCGCCAGGCCCCCATCCAACAGGCAATTCCCCTTCTCTCTTCCTCTCCTTTCTGCAGGGAAAGGAAGCTGGAGTTTTAATAAGGTAATAGCACCTCTTTTATATTTTCCTTTCATAAATTAGAAAGAATTGAAAGCAGAATCAGGCAGCAGCTTGGCATAATGGAAAGATTACTGAGCTGGGTGGGGGTGTAAATTGGTACAACCACTTCTGGAGAGCAATTGGCAAGATCTAGTAGAGCTGAAGCCGTGGCTGTCCCAGAGCCCAGCGATTCCTCTCAGAAGTCCCGGGAGAAACTCGGGGCCACGTGTCCAGGAGATATGGCAGAGTTGGCTGGGATAGCAACACATTGGGAAGAGAGTCCATGGATAGGAGAATGGAAAAATTGTGTTCTCCAGATGCTTATGGCAACATCATTTGCAACAGTGAAAACAAAAGAAACAGTGAAAAAAAAAGATCTTAAATGTCCATCAATGGAAAGAGAAATCAGTCATTGTATTTGAGTAACTAAAATGAATGAACCAGTCCTGTATTTATCATCCCGGTTCAGTCCTAAGACCATAATAGCAAGTTGCAGAAGGACACGTACAGGGTAATGCTGTTGATATCAAGTTCAAAAACATACAAAATGATTCTATGTACTGTTTATAGATGTATACATGTGTTGTAAAAGTATAAAAACACGTGGGAATGATAAACACCAAATTCAGGATGGTGGTAACCTCTAGGGAGAGGAGAGAGGCGTGGAATTGGGGAAGGTACCCAGGGACCTTCTACTGTGTCATAATGTTTTAAAACAGAAATTGTAGCGAATTTTTGCACAACATAAGAATTCGACAGAGTTGGGACATGGGTACATAATTTACTATACTTTTCTGTCTGCAGGGTGCCTGGTTATACCCCATGTGACTTGGGACAAGTCAAACCTCTCTTTGGGTCTCAGTAGCCTCATTGGTAGAATGAGAGCTTTGGACCAGATTATCTTGTAACCCAGCAGGAGTCTATGGGCTCTTCCCAGGACAGACCCCTCCTCCATATCCTCTGCTTTAGCTTCTCTCTGAAGGACCTGGCTAATTCCATCTAATATGTCTGTCCGGAGTTTTTCAGATGCTAATTTCTTCCATTGGTGGTGGTTTTAAGTGCTTGATGATCATGAGCAAGATCCCAGCCCCACTGGTGTCCAAGGATTGATCACCATCAGCCAATCCAAGAATGGTGCACAGCTGAGTCCATTCCTTGGGACGCCCTGCTCTTACCTGGCCTTTAAAAAGGCTCAGCTGAAACCCTTTAGGGAGTTTGAGGCTTTTTGGCCGTGAGCCCCACCCGTCCTCCGGCTCCTCCCATGTTTCCGTATTGGTTGGCCTCACAGTGCGTGGGGTATAAATGCAAG